GCAGAGTAGCGCATTGCCGTTAATATTAGAACACGTACATCTAATTTATTGTATAGGATTACTGCGTACTAGTCAAAGAAAAAAAAGAGATAAAATTTGGTAGTGTTTAAGCGGCAAGAAAAAATAGATATCGAGGAAGAGACGGAGAGAGGAAGAGGGAGAAAAAAGCGGGACGAACGATAAAGAGAGTATATCGTACAGTACATCGATTGCAGGAAAGATTAGGACGTTTTTGTAACTGTAATGAGCTTATACGTGTAAAAATAAAACTTATCGTCGATACTTATGTGTACTTAGAGAATAAGGAACGGCTTTATGGGCGATTCTTTCGCCGTCGAATGGAAATCTGAGCGCGGCTCCACGTACCGGGAGAGATGCACACGCGGGTGTCGCTTTTCTCAGTGGCATTAGATATATGTGCATCTACCCGTCGCATCGTGCTTGTACTACTTCGTAAGTTAGGATCGCTCCGCGTATAAATTTTACAGCCGCCGCGAAAGATCGGCGGGCAAAAGTAGTCCGATAGATTGTACACAAGATCAAACACACATCGTGGTTTCCTATGTTGCGAGATAAGTAAACACGGCCTTAAATATTTCTGACTGTACGACGAGGAGAAGAAAATAAAAATAAAAAATGTGAAAGGGAAATAAGAGAGAGAAGAGGGGATGGATTTGGTAGGAAGGATCGTGCGTGATGTTCTGAGAGAGAACCGGAAAAAAGGGAAAAGGAAAGAGTAGAAGTGTCATCGTTTTTCCTTGTGACGTATAGAAGATATTTTGATACCTCCAGATTTGCACAAATCAAGTGTCATTTGTTACCGCTTGAATAAAATCATTTTTACTGAACGCCGCTCAAAAAGAAAAAAAAGAAGAGATAAGAGAGAAAAATGACAGCATACTTAATATATATATATATATATATATATATATATACACAGATCACACGAAACGACATGAAAATCCCTAGAGTCTGTGTGAATGTGCGGATCACGAGAAATAAAAGTAATAAATCTATGTTTAAAACTTGTAATCGCATCTCGATACCTTGTGAAACGCAACCGATCCATCATCTCGTCACTGTTTTTATCACCACTGTATTCACTCCATCGCGTTTACACATGACGGGACAACTTTATGTAGATACATCTAAGACGTTTTAATGTACGAGTCAGTTTCTCTGTAATTTCTTTCTGTACGTTGTATTCGCGCTTATACAAAACTTACAGTATAAGCGAAGCTTACGTTTAAGATAAAATCGTTGCAATATGATTCGGACTTAGTAGAACGCGAACTTTCCGATATTGCGCGATATCGCTTGAAATAAAAATCGCTTTTTTTTCATTTATACAATGATTAAAGTTTATCAGTTACCAGAGACGTCAAATATGCCTTGACTCAGAATCATTTATAAAATATAACCCGGAGGAGGAGAAAAAATTCTCATATATAATTATACATAGAATATGTCCATATACCCAGCAAACACAAAGTGACAGTTATATAAATGTTAGTTGTAATTTCCTATTCAATAATATCCCAACAAATACTAAGTTACATAACTGTTAGTTATAATTTCCTATTCAACAATGTAACTGTTATATGACACACCCGTTATATGACAGTTACATTGGGTGTAAGTTGAGTAGGGAATTATAATTAACAGTTATGTGAGCACCAACTAATAGTAACATTAATGTTGTAATTTCTCACTCAATAATATAACTGTTGTACAATAAGCGTGTTACGTAATAGTTATATTGTTGAATGAAAAATTACAATGTTGATGTTATGTTATTTGGTGTTTATTAGGTAATTATATATAAATGTATATATTTATATATAATCATACAATTACTTAGACAGCACAAAACTTAAAATCGGAACATAAAACGTCTTTAAGACATCTTTAAGACGTGACATTCCGGTTTTATGCTGTTTGATGAGTAGCATCACTTCATATATAATTATACATTTTATATATAGATATATTTTATATATAATGCTTCATATATAATTATATACATTTATATGTAATTATATCTAATTGTATATAATTATATCTAATTATATATGGATATTTTTTTTCCCCGGGAATTTATTTTGACATGAAAGCGTCCTCAAGCTTTGATCAATGTAAGTACAACTTACCAGAGTTTTTGTTACGATTTTCAATCTTCCGTATCATAACGTGTGGTTGCACCAATAACTGTGATTATACAATGCTAAGGCGTATTCGGTGTCTGATGCTTACATCTATATCACACGATAAACCCCGATAAACACCAATAGTAACGTAATATACACAAATTAATATAAATCTTCCAATTAATAATGTAAATATAATATAACACGAATGTTATATTATACTGCATTTACATTGTTGAGTGGAAAATTATAACTGATAGTTATTTTATTGTTACGTGGTGTTCGCTGGGATAAGTGAGATTTATTTAGATTTTTAATTCCACTAGTTCAGCTTCGTGAAATATTTTTGTGATCTTCGCAACCTTGTTCGTTTATCTTATCATCGCGAAGATGATACTTTCATCGCGTTGTGACTAATAAGATTTCAATCGTTGGCAACGAATGACAAAGGAGTGTTATACATGGTGTTTGTACAATTGAGACTTAAGATGCACGAGTCGTTGGCTGAAGTTGCACGTAACTAACGAACATTATCCTTTGCCCGGCTAGATTATGCACCGCATCATGCAACTTGCGTCACAGTTATTAGCGTTTTTTAATTATACCATCTGCATCATCAGAATTGCACCGTTTGCGTAATATACACACGACATATCACTCGGTGATGCGCAACGATTTCGTCACTTTCATACCCGTTCATCATTATTTAACCACTGTAGTTTCACTTGCGACTTATGACTGTAATCATCACGATTTATTTCTTTCAGGCTTGCGTTATTTGAGATTTGCGTTTGTTTTACGACATCGCCACATGTATCGAGAGGGAAAAAGAGCTCTGTAATGAATCTTTATTATCTACAACTGTTATTCATTCACGTTTCTGCTGTTTCCGCCTGAAAATAAATATATTTGCACATTTATATTTAACAAAGCCAATTCGAGATTGAAAGACACGAATTACGTTCGGTTTTCTTGTACCTCCTTCCACTGGTGATTATATACTAGAATCAAAAACATTAAAATATTTAGACAGAGGAGGAAAGGAAAGAAAGAAAGACAGTTGTAGGAAAGTGTAAAAAGTGTAGAAATAAAAAAAGTCGATCTAATGCTAGACCTTCGTTTTTTTACCGACATTTATTACACTTTCCCACAATTTTCTTCTTGTCCCTCCCTCGCGATAAGTTACCGTTTATGTAAACGCAAATAATATGAAAAGTTATAAGAACAAATGCGATAAATCCTAATTCGTTTTACATTTTTGTTAAAATTTACGTCGCTTGGACTTTGCAATCTTGTCCTCAATAGAAAGAGAGAGAGAGAGAGAGAGAGAGAGAGAGAGAGAGATAACATTACGAGAGAGGTGATTGTTTTGTCGCTGCGGTAACGGAAGTACAAGCCGGAAAATTTCTAGTCTCTTCTGTGTACAACGTAACATTGTGTATTTCAGACGATTGTATAATAACTACATATTTTGTTGAATATTGCAACTCATTCGATGAGGTAATCTCATCTTTCTTTCCTTTTCTCCCCACTACTACTAACGTCTTGCTACCACTTATCTTCCACCAATGGCCAATCACTCATTATTAGCATCAGGATCGCACTTAGCTGTTTTGAGATCCCGTGACAATTTATTCAATTAATTCTTTATTGAATAAATAACAGAAATCAATAATAAAAAAATACAAATTGTAGACGATAACGATACTTAGCAAAAAAAATATTTTGTCCCTATATTAAGATCGGTCTTTGTTAAAATTTTTAACATACACACGTGTGTTAATTTAACATATTCCCATACAATACATTTAATCTCGAGAATATCCCAAATTGTCCTAAATTTCGAAATGCGATCCCACAGATATCCTAGTATCTGGGATATTGCAATAGGATATCTCACGATATCCAAATATCTCTGCTATATCTCTTTATCTATATCTCTTTATATATCTCACGATATCGTCATCAGTAATAATGTAATTTTGACATTACTTCGACCCAGAGAGAAATCAAATCGACATCGAATCGATGAATCGTTTCTCGCTGGGAAATACTACTATTCGAATTCTGGGAAAAATGATTATATATGATTATATTTAATTATATGAAATCATATATGAATTTTGCCCATATATGTGGTTACATATATGATTATATATGTCTACACGAAAAAAAGTGATGTTATTTTATTTAATTAAATGTCGATATCATGTGTTGTCAGAAGCACAAGTAGCCATTTACTTCGGTTATATTTGCATATAATTTATAAACAACAGTATGTTTTCGTTGTGTATATATGATTATATGGCAAATTTCATACATGATCTTTTTTTCCGGATATCGATTAACGTATTTAATTTTGTATTAATTTTCGACCTAATATTTGTACTACTATTCAATATATTCACTTGTGTCAACACAAAAATTTGAGCGAACCATTTAGGACTTGTGAAATGTGTTAAATTTAACACAAAATTGTTTACAAATCGCAACTTATTAGGGAGTTTTCGCTTTTCAGACACGGTAACGCTAAAATGCATTCCGATGTTCAATTCCGGTATTGTGAATCTATAGTATGTGTCACGTATTTATAGATTCAAAATGTTGGCAATGAACGCATTTTGACGCTCACCGTATCTGAAAAATGTTATTGCAGAAATGGTTTATTTTCTTTATCTAGCATTGTTCTTTAAATGCACCTCTAGTTAATTAAATAGCCAATTGATAATTGCATTTCACGTTCCATGTGCGATCAGGACTACCTATCTAAAATGCGAATCAGCCTTATCAATATAAATGTTACATATATTGAAAAATACTGCGTCATGTTTTTCAATAAAGACAATTGTTGATCCCGCAGTCAACGCCTGTCAATAGATACCGCTCTGATCACCACGTCACTTTCACCGCCACCGCCTACCACCACCACCTGCTTAATTCCACTCGTCTAATTTCGTTCGGCCCGACTTTACGTTTATTCATGCCTCGTATGTCGGTGCGCGACAGTTTGACCGTTGCATCGGGAAGGTGCAACTCGAACGAACACCGGGGCAGAATGGCGCCAGCACTCAGCAAATTCACGAATAGACGCGCATTGGGTAGCGTGGTGACAGCTGGTGCGCTCGTTATTTTAATACTGAAGTACCGCAACAAGAGACGTACACAGAAGTCAAGGTGAGTCCGCACGCCAGATACGTATATACACAGGTCACGCACTTGTTCACGGTTGTTTGTAATGAGCAACAACGTGTTTGCAGAAACCCGTGGCCTACCAACAATGACATCCAGTATATCATCAAGGAGGTGAAAGTTTATGATACATTTGGTGAAATTTATTAATCATGTGCATAGTGCACATAGTGGGGGAGAACCAGCTATATATGCTAATTCTTCCATGGACAGGGGAATAATAGGAGCATTGTGATCGATGAAATGTTCAATACTTTATATTGCTGAATAATGTGATAACTCACCTTACTGATTTGTTTATGCATTGTGTTAATTACATAAAATGTTAACTATGATTCATGTTCACTGATGCACATGAATCATAATAGATAGAAGCGGTTAGGACTACGTTATTCTTTCTGTTCACAGGAAAAGACGAAAAGCCCCAAGGCACAAGTTGATGCTGTCTTCTTGCGCAGGATTCTGCAGTTGCTCAAGATCGGCATTCCGGGTGTGCTGACACCAGAGTTTGGCATAGTCTTTGTAGTGGCGGCTTCTTTGATCGGCAGGACCTTGTGTGATCTATATTTGATTAGGAAGAGCACTCAGATAGAAACGTATGTGCCATTTTTTATTTAGCAGCATTATTTCGATTAAATTCTGATTGATTAATATGAAATATTATACATTTTAGAGCAATTGTCAGCCAGAATGTACCATTATTCAGGAAACTCTTGCTTTCCTTCTTTTATGTAGGGCCTATAGTAAGTAAAGTATATTACTTGATACAAAAATTGCATTAAGTAATTTGAGCTAAGGAAATTTCTTACATTCAGATTAAGTAACATAACTTTCGTAATTAATTGGAGAAAATGATGTGACTTTTTGTATGATTTATTTAGGTAGCAGTCTTAAACAATGTAATGAAGTACAGTTTAAGCGAAATGAAGTTGAGGTTACGCACAAATATCACACGTTACTTACTGGATCATTATCTTAAGTAAGTAGCCAATCTTCAGAATGACTTTCATCAAAGTTCGATCAAGTTAATCGACTATTTAAAATTGCTGTTAATCAAGTGTTATCTGCTCTATCCTGCTAACACAGATAGAAATTAACTTTTTATATATTGATCAAATATACATAATATGTAATCATTGAGCAAAAAGTTACAGAATTTAAAATTGGTGTGTATCGGAAATTATTGTTCATCGATTAATCTTAATCTTAGAGTAATTTTATTTCTTTGCACACGTCGGTATTACAGTTACAAGTGCGATCGAATATTCTTTCTTAAACAACAGGGTCAAAGTTGATGAATAAATTGATGTATCTTTTTATGCATGACTTCGTAAAGTATCTAGTTCTGTTGCGCATAATTATCGTATCGAAGTAGTATTATACCATACACTTGAATTATTCATAATTAACCCATTTGCATCATGACTGTACTTAAGCTTTTATGTTCAGACGGTTGGCCCGTATCACCGCGCGCGGCCGTATATCGGCAGTTTTATTATTTTCGTTAACTTCTACAGTAAATGACTTCCGAATAGTTCGTAGAGTTTATTTAACATGGTATTTTTAAAAATGATCGATATAAAAGAAAGGCTCGCGGAATATTCCGCTTACGGATGTAAATGGGTTAAGATAAGTTACACGCAATAATGTACAAACTGATAAAGTAATCCTAGGTGATAAGGCACAAAATACTCTCTTTTTTTAGCTGAGCTGACTGTAGTTTATTGTAGTAACTAACTAGTTTAAAAAGTTTACAAACAAATTGAAGCGTATAAAGCGTACGTATGAGATTTTTACGCTTCAGTGTTCGTACATTTCTTGAACTAATGCAGTCAGGGATCAGCTAAAAAGAACTGATCAAATATGTTTCTTGTGGAAATTCTAAAATTTTATGTATTAAGGCTATTATACCGGTCTATATATATAAAATAAAATGTGTGACTGAAATTTATTTCCAGCGAATGCTTTAAACAAATATTAAAGTATATGATATTCTTTTAGGGGCTTTACTTATTACAAAATGTGCAACTTGGACAGTCGTATCTCGAATCCAGATCAACTTTTGACTACAGATGTTGATAAATTTTGTGATAGCTTTGTAGATCTTTATAGCAATGTAACGAAACCCTTGTTAGATATTGGTATTTATATATTTAAATTAACTCCTAGTGTCGGCGCACAGGTATGTATACATAATATGTAATTATGTATAAATATACATAAAGAATGTTTGGAACTTTTCATCTAATCACAAAATATATATGGAAGTAAAACGGGTTTAAGAAAAGAACTTTTTTGTTCAGAGTAGCCTAATTTACAAGTATATGACAGTTGTACTTAGCGACAAGGCTCGAAATTCAATATATTGACGTCTGTAGTTAAACATAACAGGTGGCATGTAGTTGGAGGTTAGGCTACTCTGAACAAAACAGTTCTTTACTATGTCGCAAACAATACGCAAATGTTTAAGTTATTACCCGGGAAAAAATTATCCATATATAATTAGATATAATTGTATATAATTATATATAAGGCGTTATATAAAATATGTCCATATGTAAAAATTATATAATTACATATGAAGTGATGATACACAGAGTTATATATGATTATATACAATTACATATGAGACATTTTTAAAGCCTTTGCAATAACCATTTTCAATAATTAGTATAATTCAATAATTAAAACTCTTTTTTACATGGTTATTTGCAAAATAGAGAATTTTTCTGCTCAATTTTACCCATTCTACCTTCATACTAGCGGTTAGTTGAAAAAATTTCGGACACTCTGTATATGTTTATTTCAATGTAAAGTTTATTGGTAATCGATGTTTCACTGGTATATGCAATGTTATTCTTGTAGTCACCAATGACGATATTAGCGTATTTGGCATTAGCTGGCATTTTCCTGAACCGTATCCGCAAGCCCATTGCACAAATGACAGTGAAAGAACAACGATTAGAAGGGGAATATCGTCACATTAACTCCCGATTGATCACAAACTCAGAAGAAATCGCGTTCTATCATGGGAACAACAGAGAAAAGTTGACGATGTTGACCAGTTTCCATAAACTCGTAAGTCGTTTAAATGATTGAATCAGTCAGGTTCTGTTCGACTTTCGAGTCAAATTTGACTGTTGCATTCAATGGAAACAAATGTTTCATCAACCAAGAAATCGCCGTCATTGTATTTCGTCGAAATTCTAGCAGCAGAACTTTATTAACATTGTTGTCTCTATTACACATATATGATATCATTTCGTCGCAAATCATTGAATTTTGCAGCTAATCTTAAATATTCATTTTTATGCTACTTGTATTCATATTTTACCATACTATATTATACATTTAAATATTTATAAGAATTTTATCGAAACGTATCACTATATATTTTTTTCTTTCTATCATTGTTCATCTTGTTATAGGTGAACCATCTTCGTCAAGTCTTGGAGTTCAAAACTTTTATGGGCATCGTAGATAACCTTGTTGCAAAATGTAGGATGTTTTTTTACATAGTACATATATTATTGTAGTTGTATTAAAATTAAATATTTTCGTCTTCTCATGTATTCTGTTTTTCACCAGATCTCGCCACTGTGGTCGGTTTCTACGCGATCAGTATACCCTTCTTCCAAAAGGATCACTCGATACTCTCCGGCTCATCGTCTTCTCAGCGCTTCAACTCTTATTACACGAACGGTCGGATGATGGTTAGAATGGCCGAAGCGATCGGCCGGTTAGTATTGGCTGGAAGGGAACTCACACGTTTAGCTGGATTTACGGCAAGAGTCACCGAGCTCAAACAGGTCCTTGATGAATTGAACGCCGGCAAGTACAAGAGGACGATGCTTACGGATAGCAAGGATGTTATTGGTTATCCCGGCGGCGGCAAGATCATACCGCGCGACAACCTCATACGATTCGATTGCGTGCCGCTCGTCACGCCAAACGGAGACGTGCTCATCAGAGAGCTAAGTTTCGAGGTGAAATCTGGCGTGAACGTCCTGGTTTGCGGTCCGAACGGTTGCGGCAAAAGTTCCATGTTCAGGATTCTTGGCGAGGTATGTATTTATGTTCTTTGCAATACTCATATATACATCGTAATAGAATGTTATAAGTGAGTTCTTAGAGTTTATTTTATAATCGTTGACACGATTATCCGGCTGTAATCATCGTGATTATTTTCTGCTTGACTTATTCTAGAGGCTCTTTAGAGGCTCGAAGAACTGGAAGTTTTCTCAGTTTTCTTTTTTCGAGTTTTTTTTTGTGGATAAATAAAAAATGGAAAGAAAACTTTTTTTTTACGTCTTTTTCCCGCGACTTATTGATTTCTTTCCGAGAAAAAGTTGAAGAAAGTGGGGTTTTTAACTTATAGCTCGTTCTATCGTGATATCTGTTCATTACTGATTTCACGAATTGTGATTTCTAGCTGTGGCCAGTTTGGTCCGGAACGGTCACGAAACCACCGCGCGGTAAGCTGTTCTACATCCCGCAACGTCCTTACATGACGTTAGGTACCTTGAGAGATCAAGTCATTTATCCTCATACGAGGGCCGAGATGCAGCGGCGCGGTAACATTAGCGACAGCGATTTAAATAAATTCTTGGACTTGGTGCAACTGACTCATCTACTGGACAGAGAGAACATTAGCAGCAGCGAAGGACAGGGCTGGGACGCGGTAGCCGATTGGATGGACGTCCTGTCGGGCGGCGAGAAACAGCGTATAGCTGTGAGTCCTATTTTTTTTTTATTTATATCGGTTTTCTTTTCAACGATCGACCACAACTTATTTTGTTCGCCATCAGTCGTAGACTGCGTTCGTTTTCTTCGCTTTGTATGTATTATCAGTCACAAAAAGATTGCAACGCTTTTTCTGATAAATTTCGGGATCCAATAGGAGAATTTGTTTTTTTAGTAATTCTCAGGAGATAAATTTTCCTATCGGATATTAGTTGCAAAACTTGTTGAAAAAAAAAGTGTTGCAATCTTTTTGTGACTGATCACACATCGTTTAAAGACGGAATGTCACTTTTGGCGTGAAAGTAAGCTAGACGAACGCAACCTTTTGGATGTGAATGTGAAAGCGAGCGCGTCGAACGCGCGTAGTGCCATTTGTGTGCGAGAGAAAGCTCTTTTTTTTGTTCAATCTTCACTGCTTGCTTCTGTCACTTATACAGATGGCCAGACTGTTTTATCACAAGCCGCAATTCGCGATCCTGGACGAGTGTACGAGCGCTGTCAGCATGGACGTCGAGGACTCTATGTATATGTACTGCAAGAAAGAGAATATAACATTGTTCACAGTCTCACATCGTCGCTCTCTTTGGAAACATCACGAGGTACTGTCGACTTTATCTCCTTTTCGTTTCAATCGATTTCCCGTAATTGTAAGGATACCCTTGCGACGACTTTTACGTTATTATTCACTTCGCGACTGTTGTATTTTCAGTATTACTTGCAAATGGACGGACGAGGAAGCTACGAATTCAAGCCGATCGAACAAGACACGATAGAATTCGGATCGTGAATTCTTGCGTCCCTTGCATACGCGCGAACAAGCGCGAGCGTGCAAGGGACATCTAACGTAATATACTGTGGTAATTTTAATAGGGGACATTTTCCGCGACAAAGACGACAGAATACCGTAGAACGTTGCTATTCTGTTCAAGTCTACGCGAGCTATTTCCTAATCTTATAAATGCAATAATTCCGTAGCTGTTGTTCCTAATATTCTAATATTATGCGATTATCAAATTTCTATTCGTAAGTAAGTATTTCAACAATATAAACAAAGAAATTTACCAAAATCACACTAAAACATGTAGGTATCAATTTGAAGCTCAAATGATAAGCGAATATGAGAAGCAAACAGCAGGGCACAGCAGGATTAGGTACGAATCTTATCTAACGCTCTTTATATTATACGGTAAGCACGTTACGAAGTAGCGGTGAATGACACGGTCATTCAGCGTCATCGATCCCTTCACGCACTTATATAGTTATTCAAATTGCGATATAATATTGCACAATAATATATTTTTCTATCGATATTTTGACAGGTTACAGTAATGTATTCTTGAATGTACCTCGAGCTTTGAACGTATGGCGTAATACCTTTCAAAATAATACTTTTAAAACATTATGGCAAAATACCTTAAAAAAAAAGTTCTGTTATATCTCCAAATTGTTTTAGATAATTGATGTGTAAATATTTGTATAAGCGGATAGTGCATAGGCTTCTCAAATGCGAAAACCCTCTGTTAATTCTTAACAGTTAATATCGTCTCACGAAGCAAAGATTTGCCACATGTTATCTACTAAATAAATTCATTAATATATTCCGCTGTACAACGGTTTCTAATCTTGAGACAGGTTATGGAAAAACGTATCATATGACAGTGTATGTATACGAGTACACGCATGATTTGATGATAGATTTTATTACAGGACTTGTGTAATGTAATATTTATCATGGTATGTTATACATCAATAGCAGGGTTGGGCAAGTTAATTTCTTCTAACTATAAGTTACGTTGAAAGATATTAACTGTTTAACTTAACTTTTACCTGATTAACTAATTATTACGCGCGCTAGATGAATGAATATATCACGAGAAGCATAACAATTGTTGGACAATAAGAATGTTATAAAGATGAAAGATTTATAGAGAAATACTCCCTCATTGAGTTTCAATGATTGTTTCACTTTGTTGATATTGCAAAAGAAAAATTCTTATATTCTACTTCTATATAGTATATATATACCTAATTATTATACTTAGGTGTATAATGGTTAAATTATTTTCATATATTCCACGTAAAAATTTTATCTAGAAAACTATCTTGAAACACTTCCAGTTATATTATTCAGTACAATTGTTAGAAAAATATAAGACGAAAAGGTGTGGAACGTATACGTTCGAAATATCTTAGAGACAGACTGGTGATTTTTGTAGTTTATATTTTGTAAGCGAAAGTTGTTGCGAAGATGAATGTAAAGATATTTTTTGAGAAATAAAAAGTTTTTGTAATTTAAGTTTCATATGCGTTAGATCTTAATTAAATAGTTAATAATATTGTTTCCTGCTTAATGAAAAAAATATAATAAAGTATATAACACATATAGTTGAAAAAACAGATGTTCAGTGGGTTCTGCAAGGAAGAATTGCAAACTCGCAAATATTATTTTCCTTTAATACGGATGCTTCTTTAATAATATATTTTCATATTCTTCACTTCTTACCTGTTTATTTAGTTTCCTTCGGCTAGTTTTCATCAGAACGTCTACTGTCTGCAAAAACTTGAAAAATCTGAAATTCTCAGGAAATTTATGCTTGGAAATATCAGATAATTCTTAGGGCATTTTATTGGAAATCAGGAAATTTGAAATGGTCATTTTTGTCTGCAGGTCATATTATCGCGTTGTTCAATATTATTCAATAATAGACTAAACAGTCAATGGGTCGACTAAATTATTACTATTTTCCAGAAAGGCAATTTTTTCCCATAGGTTGCTGTAAGAACTTCTGCGCGATAAAGGAACTATGAATGCTAATAGAACAAAATCAAGAGAGATTTTTTGAAGACTTATTTAGGTGATAAATTAAAAAAAAATAATTCTGATTCTGAGATACACAGTGATTAATCGAGAATGTATCACAAAATTCATTATTATTATTAATCCAGATATATTCAGTACGTTTCTCATTATTTCTTTTTAACCAGTAATTGATTTGCTTTTGTTTAAATTTCGCCCACTGTTCAGATATTCAAACGAACCGCGCTTTGCTCGGCGATGCTCGGCTCGTGTTTTTTCGAAAGCTCTACTCGATGGGTTTGGCAGCAGCAGCTGAGCAACCGCCAGGTGTGCTGGGAATCTAGCGGAAGCTCCGGGAGCTCTGGTTTTCGGTCGCTAGTCGCAGGGTTCGAGCGCTCGAGGGCGGGTCGTGGTGTGTACATATGTGAGTGACTCGCGTGCGCGCGCGCGCCTGAACTAGCGAGCAGTACATCCATAGACTATATATAAAAGAGGATTTTGCGGCGAGAGAGGTCACGTGACCCTCGAAGGAAGAAGCAAATACGAGCGGGCAGGAAGGTGGAGCGAGAGAATCGCGAGAAATAAAAAGAGGAAGGAGGAACTCGAGGAGAAGAGGTGCGTGGTGGTTATGCCGCTGGTTTTAAAGAAGAGAGAGAAAAAAGTAGAGAAGACTCTCGGGCGGTTGTGCTGCTTTCGGAGCAGCAGAAAGTAGACGACGGTGATTATTTCACGCTTTGTCTTTTTCTCCGCTACCTCTCTTTCTCCATCTCCTCGTCGCGAAGGCGACGCTTTTTACCACTAAGGCTATCGATCGTCGTCGTGCCTACGTCTTCGAACGATTTCGCACCGTCGTCGCGAACCCGTCGCGTATCGCACGCACAATAATCAGCCTACTTCAGTACGTATACACTCCTCTTCCTGCCCGCTCCTTCCCCCGTCTTTCCGCGCCGGTTTCCACCGCTGCGTTACCGCTCCCTCCTCTCGCCCACCGCTGTGCGTCTCCTCTTTGCCGCGTGCGCGTTCCCGTCGAGGGGGCCGGTCGCCTTCGTGGACAACGCTCCGTGAACGAGCGTTGGGGGGGTAAGGGACCGACCGGGAGCACAGGTGCATACACACACGGAACACGACACGACGCGTCGCGGCTCCAACACGGCAGCGAGGAGAAGGTCCGTGCGCGGGGGAGGAGCGGAGAGAAGAAGGAGGAGAGACACACGCGTACAGCGGCCGCAGAAGTAGTACCGAGCGAACGGTCGCGAGTGTTGGAACGTGCAGTGTCCGCTCTTTCGCGGTTCCATCCGCCGCGAGTCGCTCGCTCGTTATCGCAGAGCACAGTGCCGTTGTTGTCGAGGTACGTCAGTCGGCAAGATGAACGATAGTGCGGAGCCGTCGTCGGACGCGGCGGCGGTGAGCGAGAAAGACGACGGACGCACGAAATCGCGGACGGCGATCGACGACGAGTCGACCGGTCGAACAGCTGCCCCGACTCCTGGCCCCGCCGGTGACAGCACGACGACGATGCTCGAGCCCGAGTGCCGCGGTCAGCGGGCCTCGATGAGGGGAACCCCGGTAATACGTGCAGCTACCTCCTATCCGCCGCCGCCGCCGCAGCAACCGCCGCCGCCGGGGTGTGGCTGCGTCGCAGCCGCGGTCGACAAGGACGAGATCACCGTGAATATCACGCCGACCACCGGCGGCCAGTTCGAGCTCACCGTCGACCGTAATGATACGGTGGAGAATCTCAAGAAGATCATCTCCAAGAGACTCAAGGTCGTCAAGGAGCGAATCTGTTTACTACATCGCGAGAGGTGAGTCCGTTCTCTTTATGTTTCTCTCTCTCTCTGTCGCTCGCGCCTTTGTAGCGCGAGAAAGGACGGAGGAAGAGAGAGAGAGAGAGAGCGAGCGAAACCAGTGTTATTTCGGTGAGTGTGTTCGACTTTGGAAGGAGACCGGAGGATAATGTGTATCCTGCGCCGATACTTTCCGTCCTGTCATCGTCGGGAGAAACGTGAGGATCGCTCCTTCGCCTCTCTTTCTCGCCGGCAGGAATTTCCGACCGTGGATCCGTCTCTAATCTAATCCCATGCATTCCTCGATAAAACGGGAGAAGATAAACCGATGATTATGGAATAGATACGAGAGAATGGAGCTAGTTAGCGAAGACGGAATATCACTCGGGAAGGACGGACGCGCGTGAGGGTCTTTCACTATTGCGGAGCGCAAAGCTCTAAGCCTCTCCGGCCTTCTCAGCCGAGTCTTATCGTCGTTTTACATTTCATTCTTGCACATAGACCGCGGCGCTCTTGCGCAGTTCGCCTGAAAGAAGAGTGCAAAAATGTGATATAGCGTAGATAGATATCGACTCGCGCCCGCGGCGATTCCTCGAAGGATGCCCGCGAGGTTCCCTGCGGCGCGTATTCGTCACCGTCTCGCATAGCTTAACAATGACAACTCGGCGAAGATACCGCGGTCGATGTGTTTTATCGAAATTATCGCGGACGATGATCAATGACGAGAGCCGACGAGTACGAGACATTCGTGTGCGGAAAAAATAGAAGAAAGAACCGAAACGCCTGGGAGGTTATTTTTTCAGTTCTTCACCCTCCGTGAGAGACGCGGACGAAAGTAGGGGCAGGCGTCGGCAATCAGAGACGAGAATATGATAGGATGAAAAGTCCGTTTTCTACAGCCGGGGCTCGCCTAGGTAGGAGAAAGAGTCGTCGCGACGCGCAGAGTGTCTTCTATTTTTCCCCACGAGCAACGTGCGTTCGAAATCGTGATGCGGACCTCGCCCCATGCTCCGCTCTGTAAAGAAAGAGAAGAAACCGAAAGAGAGGACGGCTGGGAGCTTTGGAGGGGGGGGGGG